TGTGCCTCACAGGAGGAGGATCAGAAGTGCCTGGTTCTCACTTTCCAGGGACTCCTTTTGCACTTCCCCTGTTATAAGTCTAGGGCAGGGTTTCTCAACCTTAGCAGCTCTAAGATGTGTGGACTTCCACTCCCAGAATTCCCCAGCCAGCAAGGCTGGCTGGGGAATTCTGGGAGTGGAAGTCCACACATCTTTGAGCTGCCAAGGTTGAGAAACCCTGGTCTAGGGCAACACTCACCAAAAGCCCAGAAATGATCTGCCTGGGGTGTTTTTCAACTTCCCACTGTAGCCTCCACTCCAAGATTCCCTGGTGGTCTCCTGTCCAACTCCTCAGCTTCTGAGCCCCAAGATCTCTGAGGTGCCTTGGAAAATGAAAGGAGCTGAGAAATTCTTAATTGGAATCTCCCCCACCCCCCTCCCCATCCAAGCAGTTGCCTTTTATCAACCGCACGATGCACGATAGGGATAATAATTGTTATTTATATTAGACCTGCCTTATAATCTATTGTAAAATAATCTATGCAAAGTGCTTGGAAGGGATTAAAATATTCTTAGAAGATGATTAATGTAAGAATAACAAATTCTCTGAATAGATTTGTGTTTTTAATCAGGGAGTTACTGGGGGAATTTTTCCCCAGCTCACAGGGCTGATCCAGTAAGAGTTAGGAAGTGGGTGGGAGAGAATTAACCTCCGTCTCTTAAAATATGGCTCATAAATTAAGGTTCTGGGAGTAACCAAATCTACCTTGCGTGCCTGGAAGGTCAGTTGGAGTCTCAGAGCTCCCAGGAGTCCTTAAGGGAGTACAATTTAAATAAGACCTGTTCATGCTTGAACTCTCTGGTGTGACTTTTCCCTCTTTTTGCATTGAATGGTGGTCACAAGGGTCACGTCGCTTTGGGCTTCAACCTACAGCTTTATTATCTTGTACGAGTGTCTCTTAGAGAAGGGGACTTCCCAAAGCCCCAGGTAACCCCAGGGAGGCCCCAGGGGTTCTCTTGGCCAACAATTTCCTCTTCCATACACCAAAAGAACTGGTCAATGCCAGAAGGAAAATTATGGGAAAGCATCTGTACTGCAATTCATGTTCTTAGGGAAATCTCCCATTCTTTTAAAACAAGGAGAGGAAAGAAGAATCCAAGAAGCTACAGACTGTTGCCAGGAGTTATAAAGGATAACATAAGGATACAGAGATTAGTGGGTGAAGGAAAATAAGCTGAAATTAAACCAGACAACAGTGATGCTCTTAGTAAGCCAGGCCCTGTGGACTGGGGTTACCCAGTTAGGAATTGCTTTCCCCTGAAACAGCAGGCCTGCTATCTGGGGGCGCTCCAAGATCCACAGCTCGTACTGAACTCCCAGATAGACCCAGCTGAACTGTGGTCAACACTTGTGTTTGTATAATTATGGCTAACAGGCCAACTGATTCAATTGGCAACAGTTGTCCACACCTTGGTGACATCCATCTTAACTAATGCAATGTGTTTTATACAGGGCTTTTCTTAAAAGGATCCAAAAATTATAATTTGGTACTAAATATGGCACCCAGACCGTGAACTTGCACAAGATACAGGGATCAAATGGTGCCCGTTTGAAAGAGCTGAACAGTTGCCAGTTGCTTATCAGGCACAATTTAAATTGTTGGTATTGACCTTTAAAGCTGTAAATGGGAATTCTGGCTGTGGATATAATTTATCCTAATTTATGAAGCTTTTGTGATATTTGAATTCGCATAGTGGAAATTATAGACTAGAAAAAAATACCATCCAATAGAAATGTAGTTGGTTTGAAAACTGCTGAAAGCTCTATTGGTACGACATGCTTAACCGGGTCAGCGACAGGTAACGTGTAAACGGCTAAAGTCAGCTAGCGATGGGGTAGTGCAATGTAGAGGGAATGAGGTTTAGCCCCCAAACTCCCTCCACACGTGATAGGGTTAACAGAGGGTTAACTTTCTCATCCTGCTGCTGGCGTGAAGTTGTAGAACAGCCGCACAAGAATGAAGCCGCTCTAGGGACTTCATCTTGCTGCTCGTTTTAAGTTTTCACCCCCACCTCCTCAGCCATACGGAGTGTGAACTGGGGAAGGAAGGGGTGGGAACTGAGGGACCCTCCTGCTTCTCTGCAGTGTGTCCACTTATTGATTCTGGAGGATATGAACACACATCATCCTCCACCCATTCCTAACCTGCTGTGAAGGCAACTTCCATCTCTTTTTTTCTTGCTCTATGTCAAAAGTGGGGTTTTTCATCCTCTGCCAGCAGAAGAGTGCTGGGTGGACTGTCTGCTGCAGTTCAGTTCATCGTAGGCAATGCCTGCTTTCCAATCAGCCGGTGTGTGCTCTTGTGGGCATTCTCCCTCCCTTCTAGTCACTGGTCACTGCCCTCCATGGCCACTTTGTTCTGGGCTGCTGGACTAGTGAAACAATTAACCTTTTTGGGGGGAGGGTGCTCAATCAGTCACTGGTGAACTGGGAGACCTTTCTTTCTTTTTTCGACCAGTCTGCCGATGCAGCAGTGAAATGGTGGACATTTCCTTTCCTTTCTTTTTAAGTCGGTTCCATGAAAAGAAGAAGGTTGAGATTCTTGCAAGAAAGGCCAAAGAAGAGGGAGGGAAGGCTCCTCTGTGTATGTTTTGTGGGCAAGAATAGCAAGGAAACCTCAAACTTCTTCCTGACAATCATAAAGAAGAGAAGAAGACTAATCCCCCCCCCCCACTCTCCCAGTGTGGATGCACCTCCCAGTTCTCCTTGGTTTGAAACCAGTTAATATCTTTGGCTTGCTGAAAGATAAATGCTGGGGGAAGGCATCCCCTTGGAAAATGGGGTTAGGATGAAATTGATCCGAGTTTGTGAGTTTCTGCTTTTAGCTCAATTGATAGCAAGAACCTGAAAGGTGAAGGTGTTTTCCCAGTCCCCGACCCCACCCAACTGGTCCAGTAGTGGACTGGTGAAAGGCTGATTTTGAGCAAGCAACTCCTGCGCTGATCATGGGACTAAACTAGATGACCTCTAAGGTCTCTTCCAATCTTATGACCTATGACTTTATGACCCCCAGATGCTGTTTTCTCACACAAATAGAAACCACTGGTTCACAAAGACTGCTCGCAGAAAGCAAAGTGCCTAGTGCTTGCTTTTCTGGCATAGATGCTATGGGTGAAGCAGCAGCAGAATCCATCCGTTGGGGCCATGGACAGAACAGCTTCATTATCAAAGCTTGAAATCTGGGTAGCGATTTCTCAAGCTCCCTTCCTTTCCAGTCAGTAGCAGCAGAGGAACAAGCAGCTTAAGGCCACTCTTTGGAACTAGCCATGGTCATTCATGTTGCACAAATAGTCCCTGAATAGTCTTCCACTGGGCAGGAAGAAGGCTTTGAATGGGAAGCCAAGAGACTCTATGCTGGATCCAAAACTCTGCAACTTGTTGAGAAAACAATGGCAGATGAACATGTGGAGAGAATCCTTATCACACTAATAGACAGACAAGAACGGGTGCAGAGAAGTTCAACTGAAATTAAGAAGAAAATAATCCCTAGGAAGATTGAAAGGACTGAGTAAGTAAGGGAGGTCTCTAGGCTGCAGGCTTTACGGCCGTAGTGCACATTACAGGGCTGACTTACAGAAAGGCACAGGGGGAGTTCTGACATCCGTTCTAGTGGGGGGTGGAGTGGGGCTATGATCCCTCACTTGTTTGCTGTTGTTTAGTGCATTCTTTGGCTGCTACGTTTTTTCATGAATAATTGAACAATTCACTTTCTCAGCAGATTCATCCTCTCTCCTCTCCTCTCCCCTCCTCTCCGTAGCTCCATCTCTGCTGCCTGGACCATCAGAATGAGGGAGAGGGAGAGGGAGGCAGGACGGCTTTTCTGAGAAAGGGCTTGATTGTCAGGCTGTGATTTCGGTCCTAGTAGTGCAGAAAATCTCCTTTCAGTTGAAACCCTCCTTTGCATTTAAATACCCTTTTGGCCCAGGACTGGCTGTAACAAGGAAAGGAGACCCCCCTCAAGGGGCAGTGGCAGAGATGTGGGGCATAGGATGGCCTGAAATAGCTCTGCTGCATGATTTGATCCCATGCCCCTCATCTAGCTGAGCTCAGCCCTTTTGCAGCCGGGACGCTTTTAAAAAGAAGTGTGTCCAAGGAAAATGGCCATTTTGTAGGGGGTGGCTTTTGTTTTTTTGTTTTAGCAAGGGAGCATTTTTTACCGGGGTGTTAAGTACATCACTGACCCATTTTCTGACAAAAGTCCATGGACTGCCAACGCCCCCCCTCCCCCCGCCAAAGTGCCTATGGAGCCATAGGCAGCTCATGGCTGCTCCTTCTGCCTTAATCCACCTTGGTGACTCCAAGTACAGTGACGGGTGCTCTGCTGTCACGAACAGAGCAGTACGAGGGGCACAAGCACGTGCATGATAGAACCATCCTGACTTGATCCAAGGAAGCAAAAACACTGTAAGCTAGATTAGTTTTGATCTTAAAAGACTTCAAAGAGAGGGTTAACATACAGGGAAGGACAAGACGGTCTCTGGAAAGGCAAGGCCTTTCTTTTTGCCATCTCATGTCTTGCTAAGTTGCCACTGACTCCACCCAAGTGGAAGGAAACTGTTAAAAAAAAGTTGGAAAGAAAAGATCTGCATGTTACCTGCGCCCTCCCTTCATCACCGAGCTATGAGCTTGATGTCAGTGGGGCTCGGTTTACCTGGGTGTGTACAGGTGCACTGCGTAGGTTATCTAAATTCTGTCAAAGTCAGCCCTATAATTAGAGGTAGTGTACCTTATTACTGGTTATGAGCTTCTCAGCCAGCACTGGAAACAAGATGCTGGATGCAGTGGGTAGGGCAGATCCAACAGGATTCTTCTTATGTTCTTCCTCTTATACTAAAAATCAAAAGGGGTTAGAATCTTACAGTGGAAACTTAAATTCAGAACAAAGTATGCTGGATTTCACTTCGCCTGCTGCAACTGTGGAGAAATTCAAGAGATCCACACAAAGATTTTGTCCATACAAATCACTTCTTGGGTCATTGTTCCAACCATATAGCACTAAACCAAAGTGAGAAAAGCTATATCAATAAAAACTTTCACTAACACCATTATTACCGTCTTACCAAACTGCAAACAGTACCCAGATGAGCTCAAGAACTGTGTTAACCTTGTAACTAAGCCCAGGAACTTGTGTTCTTGAGGGATGAGTGGGAAATTGGGGATGGGGGTAGAAAGAGCAGGGTGGGACTTGCTCTCTTTTCAGATCACATCCCTGAAAACAACGCTCAGCCCATTTTGAGGGATCTTTTAACAAGAAGCTGTCGCTATCCTTTCAGAAGCGTGCGGGATTCTCAAAGGCTCTTCTGTATCATAGGCAGATCTAGACTGCTCGCCCATGGCTAGCCCAGTCATCTCCTCCCCTGGCCAGCTGCCTGCCTTCTATGTGCCACTAGGGCACAATCTGGGATATATATGTCAGTTCAATAGCCGTTCTTTTAGTCTTCTCAGTCGCTGCCAAAGGAGCTGGGTCCTGTTGCTTCCCATCATTCTTTTGCCACTGGAGTGAAAAAAAAAACAACCTAGGGACAAATCCATGGTGCCATAAAGTTGGTGCCAAGGTAGCAAGGATTACCACACCCCTTTCTGCCTCATTTTCCATCCCCAGAGGATTGCAGGGCATGAAAACACAAACTTATGGCAGACATGGAGTGCCTAGAGCGCCCCCTTTCTATGAAGCCTTTCTAGAGTTTTACTTCAGAATGGGAAAACATCAGTTGATTCCTAAGGAAGCCATATTGGTTCACCAGGGAGAATGACTTGAGCTCCAAGCAAATCCAGGGCTGTTTGACGGCAAAACTGATCCCCTAGTATATTTATCTGAGTTAGGGTGTTCTCATGACAGGTTAGCTTCCTCTCTATGACCTAGGATGCGCTTTGTGTAACAAAGCCAAGGGAAAGGGAATTAAATCAAGAATGTCTTTCCTAACCAGGTGCCCTCCAAGTATGTTGGAATTCACCAGCATGGTGCCAGGCTGAAAGAAGCTAAATCATATCAATGCATGCTAGAACTTGTGTTCCTGCCAACACCCCTCCTGCCCCCACTTCTGGATCTATTGCTTGGTGCTGTGTGTGAATTGCATTTCTTTGTCAGACCAAGAGAAAGAAGGTTCCTTCATTCTATCCTAATTCATCAGAGTTTGGCAGCTGCCAGACTGACAGTTGGTCCAGCCTGCCCACTCCCTCCTAGGGGTAGCCTTTCTCTGTGGCATTCACACCCTCCCCCTCTTGCCTTTTTTTCCCAGTTTTTTGAGCTGAATATCATAGTTTGCAGATTTGCTAACTAAGAAAAATCCATTGCTTGTTTTGAGAAAAAACAAACACCCCCCCACCCCTACAAATCCATACAATAAAAGAAGAAGAGAAAACAAAGTCATCCCTTCTCACGATTTCTTCCCAAAGTGGATTCAGGATTCCCTATGAGTGCTTGACTGCATATGGAAGTTTTTAGTAATCTATAAAAAGCAGTCTTGCTAAGAGACACAACACAAGGGTTACAGGAACAATAGGGGAATTTTGACTCAGCCACTGGTTCCTTGGGATGGCTGAGGGGAAGAGTTAAGAGTTCCCTATCAAAAACTACTGGGGTGGAAAAACCCAATGTACTGCCTCAGTGTAGGCAAAAAACACATCATGGTTTATAGAAATTGAAGCATCTGAAAGGAAAATAAGGCTGGAGAAATTGGCTTGGAGGTGCTCTCCAGTCACTGCCTCCTCTAGGCTTGCTTCTCCAAAGGAGGTCCACGGAGGAGAAAGGACACAATCACTGTATAAGTCAACCAGCCTTCACTTCATATCCATATCGTTAGCCCACTCCCACCAAGCCAGTGTTAAAGGAGGGTTGGCTCTTCCTCTATTTCCAGGTTTAGTTGCTCTCCACAAGTTTAGCCAAATCCTGCCTGAGCTCACTCAGCTCAAAGATTTTCATGTCCATGATCTCTGCCACCTTGGCCACCTCCTGGTACATCTTCTCCCGTTCAGAAAGGGTCTCAGAGAGGGACTGCTCAGCCAAGTGCAAGCGCTGCTCCAGGTCTGTGTTCTGTCTCTCTAGGTCCTGAGGAGAAAAAAAGGAGGGTCGTAAACCACCTGGACATCAAACAGCCATGGCTTAGAAAGGCCTGGCTTGGGCACTCTTTCAAGGGGAGCTGGAGCTTGTTAGGCGGACCTCCCCGAAGGCATCTGCTGTTTAAAAGGATTTCTGCTATAGTAGAAGTGGGGAAAGTTTTCCTTGCAGGAGCCCACGCAGAGTTGTGGATATTAGTCAAAGGGACCATCCTGGGCTTGAGGCATCTGATCTGGCATAAGGCAGCTTCAATTATTCATAAGCTATGATTCAGACAAATAGCCTAAGCCAGAAGTTCCAAAGGAAAGCAAAACCAGGAAGAAACAAAGAAATAAGCAACAGAATTGTTCACAGCCCTGAACAAATTTAAATGTTTCACAGGTATTTTAAGTTTCACAGGTATTTGGCCACATTCTCCCTTGGACTTTTTCCATAACCTTTCTCACCCTCCATTATCTCTGTTACCTGCACCTTTTGGCGGGTTTCCTCATATTCATCATCTGGTTGCTGCTGCAGCCCTTTTTGGCTTTTCAGTTGCTGAAGCTCCTGAATCATGAGTAGGCAGGGAGAATATCATGAAAGAAAATGGAGAAGCTATGTTAAGGCTCCTTTGTTTTCTTTTATCAAATTCTAGTATGAAAAATATAATTCTAACTTCCACAATTTATTTTTGGAAACCACAGATTAAACTTTCAAATAAAATGGAATAGTTTTTAGCGATCATCTCCCAATCATGGCTGCTCCCTCCAGTTCTTGGCACTGGTGATCAGGCACCGAGCCTGCAGACAGAGGGGATGGTAGAAAAAATTGTCCTCAATAGAAGATTCACATAATACACTTAATGGGGTCAGTTAATGGTCCAGGATGTTGTGTGAACCTTCTAATCCACTCAGGACAGGGAGAAAAGAAGTACAGTTTTAACCCCAAAGGGTTTGGGGCATTGTAAAATAAGTTTCTGCTCCTTTTGTTCAAAAGAAACATATGCTATAGAATGGGAAGAGGAGCTGCACTTAAAAATATCTGTATCTGCTCAAAAATTCAAATGAATGAACCTGGCAATCATGCTGACAGCATTAAGGGAAGAATCCCAAGGTATGGGATACAAACTGCATCGATCATTCTTGCAGGTGACCTGCGGCAGGACTTGGATGGGAGCGGTATGTTCCTCCCTGACCTGTTTCAATGGCATTCAGTGCCATTGACCATTTGAGCTATCCGTGAAGGCTGGGGTTCAGAGGCACTGTTTTGCCACTTCTACCTGAGCAAGTGTTTCCAGGCAGGTTACCGGGGGAGGAGAGGTCAAGCTCTAGGGCACTGTCACCCCCACTAGGTAAACCAGACCAGGAAATCAAGTCCACAGGAAGACCAGAACTATACTTTACTGATATTTGCTATAATAACAGAATCTTGTAAATCTGATTGTGGTATACCTCCCCTCCCTCTTATACTCCAGCGGATCAGGGAAGCATCTGTCTGAGTCGCATCCAAATATTAACTTGTTTATCAGGATTTAAAGAACGTTTTAGCCATCCTTGCCTAAGTAAGATTCTTGCATATTTCTGTCAAGGTCCTCTCCCTTACTCTCTACAGGCTCACCTTCTCTCCCCAGTACTGTTTAAAGTTTACATGAAACTGCTGGGAGAGGACACCCATTAGTTTGGGATTAGGTAACATCAATACATTGATGATGCCTTGACTGCACATCTCTACCCTAAGCTGAGAAGATGCAGTGAAGGTCCTCACTTGGTAGTTGGAGGCTGGGATAGACTGGATGGGAAGAAGCAGACTCAAATTAAATCCTAGCAAGATGGAATGGCTGTTTATTCAGAAACCACCTGGATCCAAGGAAATTCCAGCTCAATGGATTTGCATACTCCCTGAAGGAGTAAGTCTGCAACTTGAAGTTTTCCTCAACTCAGAGATCCTGCTAGAACAGCAGGTAGAGGCCATGGCCAGAAAAGTCTTCAGCCAGCTTTGGTTGGTCCACCAATTGTACATCTTATTGAACTGGGAGGTGCTGAAGCCAGTGAATCAACTTTTGGTTAGACTACTTGTAATTTGCTTTATGTGTGGGTGCTCCTGCAGACAACTCAGAAGCTCCAGCTAATCCAGAACGCAGCTGCCTATTGGATGACCAGCACTAGCCCATTCAGCAGTGTAACACTTATTTTTCAAGAGCTGCACTGGTTGAGGCAGGCTTTCAGGCCCAGTTCAAAATGCTAGTGGCTAGCTATAAATCCCTTGGCAAATGAATGAGACAAGGCTGTACACTCTTCTGTTATTTATTCAACCTATATATATTGAAGGAGGCTGGATTGGAAGAAGATGATTGAGGTTTTAAAACTGGAGGAAGAAGCATTAATAACATGGGCGATATTAATGACACAACTCCAATAGCTGAAAGTGTAAACGATTTGCAAGCTCTAAAAATAAAAGTCAAGGAGCAAAGTGAAAAAATGGGACTAAGAATGAATATAAAGATGATCAAACTAATGACAATAGGTACAGAACTAGTCTTAACATTGACAATGAAGATATTGAAGTGGTGGATAGCTTCTGCCTTTTAGGGTTGAGTATAAATAGTAAAGGAACCAGCAGTCAAGAAATGCGCGGCAGATTAGCACTTAGTAGTGTAGCAATGAAGTCCTTGGCAAAAACATTCAGATGCTCTGCGTGTCTATTCCTACAAAAATCAGAATCATGCAGGCAAAGGTTTTCCACCCTTGGAAGTGAAAGTTGGAGTTTGAAGAAGCAGGATAGAAAGAGTATTGGTGCTTTTGAACTTAGGAGTTGATTTGAAAAAGACTCCTAAGAATAACATGGACAGGCAAGAAAGCAAACAAATGGATCATAGAACAAATGAATTCACAATTTTCACTCAAGGCACAAATGACCAGGCTCAAATTATCATATTTTGGACAGATTATGTAAAGACCTTTCTCTTTAGGGAAGTCCACAATGCTGGGAAAGGTGGAGGAAATGAGAAAAGTAGAATGACCAGCAGCAAGATGGATGGACTTGATTACAACAGTGGTGTACATACTGCCAGAAGAGCTGACGGACCAGTTGGAAGAAAGATTATCCTAGAAAAAAATCTATCTATGTGGTCACTAAGAGTTGACACTGATGTGATGGAACATAATCATAATCAAGCTGCTCAGAGTCATTTGATTGCAGCTAGGTAGAAATGTTCCCCCAAATAGTTGTTTCTGACTCATTTAGTATGATTAAGTGCGGCTAGATCTAACAGTAAGGACTAGGGTAATAGTTAACCAGGTTAAGAAATTTGGAACAATACCACCATTTTGTCTACTTCTAATGGCTGGTGAATTGTGGAGGTGTCCAATGTAGATTTAAGTCTTCAAAAACTCTACTTTTTTCTTTAAGAGATTATTTATTTATCTTGGTGGTCTTGGCATGCAAAAAGTGAATTGCATCATATTCTCTTCTCTTTCTGCTTTTCAACCCTTTATCTCCATTCAAGACAACTGCTTTCGTTGTGCATGAATGAAGTGCTACTTATTCCTTGTGTGGTTCCCCTGAGCATTTCCTTCCCTGGCTGAGTCTCTTAACCACCTGTGCTCACTGCAAGGAACTAGCTGGAGGCAAGGGGTTGTCAAGCTCTGTTTCTGAATAGCAAATGGGGATTCAAACCCTTCAGAACTTGCGGCAGTAATGCTATTACTAGCTAGGTCACTTGTTTTGCTTGCTATGTGTGCTGAGAATGTGTGGTTCTGCCACATTGGCTCCATTTGTATTTGTGGATGCACGAGGTATAGCTCCTGGCAATAGGATCCTAGAGACACAAATGTCATTTCATGTTTCCATCTTTGGGAATTTCCCTTCCACTTTCAAGATGGGGATTCATGGAATTCCATGGCTATACCTTCCTTGCAGTAGTACCGTATCTCTGGTCTTAGTGCAATTTGGGCACAAGATCATTTAATTAAGCTTTATCTAAATCAGGGGCAGGCAGCTCAGACAGTTATCAGGTTGCATGTACCCTCCATCCTCAAGATACAAGAGCAAGATTAGGGGGGGAGTGTTTTTAAAAAAAGGAATATTGTATAGGCAGAGGTTCACACGTACTCTCAAACCCCTCAGGCTACCATCCCTGCTGCCTAATTCCAGGAAAAGGTGTGCTGATGGATGCTATGTGCATGCCAGTGTGCGCCCAAAATAATCACCTTGAATATTAGGTATAGTAAATGCAAATTCTAATTACTGCAGTATTAGACAGAAAAGCAAGCTAGCATCAGTGACCTCTAAAGCACTGTTCCCACAACACAATTAACCCAGTCACCTGCTAGCCCCGTCAAATCTCCTGCCCAGTGGTTCCGGCAGCACAGTCACACTAAACCAAAATCACAATGAGGGTAGCGCAGAAGCTCCACCCAGCGTCTCCAGGAAATGCCTAGTATTCCATGGGCCTTGCACCTGAAGAGCAAGTAGCTTCACTCTAATTGACTCAATTAACCCAACATTCTAGATTTGAGCACTCTGATCAGTAAACACATTATGTGACCTGGGTTTGTACTCTAGGCTAAAATGTGGCGGGTTAACTGTAGCTATTTATTTATTTAATTATTTAATTAATTAATTAATTAATTCAATTTGTATAGCCGCCTACCTCGCATTTGTGACTCTGGGCAGCTTGCACAGTTAAAAACAACCAAATAACACAACTGATAAACAAAATACAGGAAAACAGTAAAAACACAATAATCCTGAAAACCAAATAAAAAACTAATTAAAACCAAAATGAAAAACATAAAAAGCAGGCAAGTACAAGTCATGGATCAATCAGTGTAACCATCTAGCAGGCTCCAGACCATAACCAGATCCTCAGGCCTGTTGACCCAACCGTGTCTTTAGAGCCTTTCAAAAGGCAAGCAGGCTCAGGGCCAATCTAACCTCCGGGGGGATGATGTTCCAAAGGGCAGGTGCTGCGGCAGAAAAGGCTCTCCTCCTGGGTCCTGTCAGATGTTATTCTCTAATTGATGGGACCCTTTCTGCTGGGCCTGATGGGATGGGTAGATGTACAGAGGCGGTCCCACAAATAACCCACCCCCATGCCATGTATGGCTTTATGGGTTATTGCCAGCACCTTGAACTGAACCCAGAAGCAGACTGGCAAACACAGCTCAAGTATAGTAATTCTTTCAACCTGCAAATAGAGAATTATTACCAATCTAATCTTGCAAAATGAAATACACGTATTTGAGGCCACCAACAGAATCTTCCTTCTTGTTTTTAATTGTGGGCTTCTGAGTTGATAAGCTCTGATCTAGAGTGGCAGCTTAGAGACCTGGGATGCAGCTACTGACCTCATCTTTGGCCTTCACCAACTGTTCCAACTCTTCCAGAGCTGGACAGGTCTCTTTCTTGACATCGCTTGAGAAATTGTGGCTTCTCTGGGCTTCCAGCTCTGCCACCTACGGGAGATTGGGGAGAAGGAAAATGGAGAATGGATGGAATTACTTAGAATGGTGTCAGCAGAATTTCCTTCCAGTTGTTGAAAAGTGATGGGCTACAAAAGAAACATGACCATAAATTTGCTTTGAGTCTGAAAAAGATGGATTTGGAATGAACTGGGAACTCTCTTTATGACAAAAAGACCAGAAACTGAATTGTCCTCTATCCACAAACCAGCATGAAGTTGTTAAAGACCTAGATGCTAAATGGTAGTACCCTCATTCATGCTGCATACTCTCCTCAAGGGAGATGGGGAGATGGATGAGCCTCAGTCTTTGTCATCTTTATTTGCTTGTTTTGCTCTGTGGCAACCCACCCGCCCTTCCGTATTTGAGTTATTAGAATGTTTGTTCTGCACAGGAGAAGTGTAAAATTTCTGGAGCTTTATATCTTTTTTAAAAAAAGTTAGCAAAGTGACTGAGTGATACTCAGTTCTCTTCCCTGAATTCCATAGCCTCTTAAGCCCAATCAAATCCACAGAGCCTATTTCAAGTGTAATATAATTCATGTTGGAGAATTACTGTGGATAATTTCCAGTTTAGTTTGCATCCTGCACACTCCCAGTCAATCCCTATATCCAGACCTGAGTAAGCATACATGCAGTACAGCTAGCAAAATATAGCTTGATGCTTGTTTATTAAACATCAGCAAACATTAAAAAAAACAAGACAAAAGGCAAAATCAAGGAAGAGAGAAAAGCATGAAATGTAACATTGTACATAATATATAAGTTAGATATCTCTAGATATCTGTATCTATCAAAAGGCACAGACTTTCCAGAGCTACTGGGACAATACTGTGAGTAATTAGCATGGACAGTCCCAAAGGGAGTAGCCCTTAGTTATCAGGCTTTAACCCTTCTATGTACATAACAGCAGCCGCATAGAGATGAAAAGTAGCAGACCAGGAGATCCCTCCCATATTCCGCACCATTAAAGAAACAATTTGGTGAACAGGAATGATGCATCCAACAATTCAGGTGGGAAGATTATCAGGAAATACACAATTATTTCTGCCTGAAATTTAGCCTGCTCCCCTGATGTGTGCTTTGCTTTTCTGTACCCTTTCATTTCTTTCAAGTGCAATCACTGCTATTTCTTCTCACCCTCTCTGTCTCCAACACACACATGCACACACATACAAAGACAAACATACACTTTATCAGGCTTTCTTAAAGCCAGAAACCTCTCTATTCATTCACAGAATTGCTCTTATATACCAAATCCAGCACTTCTTAGCCACTAAAAGAGGGGCATTCAGTGCTCAGCATCTCCAGCTTCTAGAAAGCTTGCTAAAAAAAGGGTTTTCAGCAGAATGTGGAAATACCTATCATGTAGAAGGCCACAGGTAATTGGAGTAGAGAATACCGGGATGGGCATGTTACTGGACGAATGAGGTAGTCCATATCTAATACCTAGATCCATTATACACAAAATTTTAAGATATGAAAACAAATGCTTTTTTGATGGTTTTTATTCAAGTAAAGAAAGTGACCTTATATGACTCTCCCTTTCCTTTCCATTCTTCGATGCAAGCCTGGTTAGCTGACATACTATGCTTGAAGGAGTCCAACAAAGTCAGAGCCTCAGCTGTTACACTGCTGATTCAAGTCCGCAGGAACCAAGGAAAGGTGATCACTTACACCCTTGCAAAACCAGCAGAGATAGTTGGGCTTCCTCCTGCTCCAAACATTGTTATGCAGACAGCAGTGAAAACAGAAGAAGCATAAAGGGAAGATTTATTTTTGGAATAGGCTGAGGTGAGTTGGGGAGTTGGGGTGTAGAATTTGGTACAGACTTAAGGATGAGCCTGTAAAAATGATGGAGAAAAGAAAAATCCCTGTTGTCTTCCTGATATAAATGTAGAATTACAAATTTAGAAAAGTAGACACTTGAAATATTTTAATTCTCATGGATGTAAAGATATGCTTAAGGCAGTAAGAACAATCTTACTAAATCAGATTTAAAAAGATTGATCTGGATCAGTATTCCATACCTTGACAATCCTATTTTTAATATTATATGTGAGCTAGGACTTCTCTGAGTGGTAGATGCAACACATCTGTGGGACACTGTTGGAGAAAGCAATGGCTAAGTCGAATTTGAGGACTATGCTTTCTGTTCGGAGATTGTTGACTAATGAAGCAATCTTTCCCACTCAGAGGCTTAGCTCCCATGATATTCTTAACTTGGTTAGTGAAGGAACAGGGATAGAGTGTTGTGAGAACAACAAAAAGAGTCAAATGAATTTAACTAACCCCCAAAGGGTTACATTTGGCCCAAAACAGTAATTATGGGGGCTTAGTAAACTTGTCTCTGTCAGTCATGTTTTGAGAACATGTAAATCTAGACAATCAACCTGTTTTGCTTACTTAGTCCCCCCCACCCAAAAAGCAACTATTGTAGGCATAAAAAGATGTTGAAAAACACACTCTCTGTCAGAGGACTCACTGATAAGGCCTAGCAATGACACCACGTCTCCCACATAGTGGATTGTTGGGATGAAGATGAATCAAGAGACAAGAACATAGATCTGAGTTGTGGAAAGCACCCGGGGATGCAAGGATGGTGGGACTACCTTTTCAGAGACTATTGGATCAGTTAAACTTTACTTTTTCCTATGCTCATCTTATTGAAGAGAGACAGTTTGATGTAGTGGTTAAAGCACCAAGCTAGAAACCAGGAGAGCGTGAGTACTAGTCTTGCCTTAGCCACAAAATTAGTTGGGTGACTTTGGGCCAGTCACTCCCTCTTAGACCTAAGAAGGAAGCAAGGGCAAGACATTCTGAAAATGTTGCCAAGAAAACTGCAGGGACTTGTCAACTGCAGGAGTCAATGCTGACTTGAAGACACAAAAATAAGCAAACATTCATATTTGTAAACACAAATGTTACAGAATTATCTTAAATATTCACTGATCTTTTCTCTAAAAAGAGTTAAATATAAATTAACATTGCTCATGCAACTTCCATACTTTTGGGGAAGTGGGCACATGTAATGCAACTGCATCAACAACTTAATCCAGGTGATATTTTATTCATGCATAAATGTACCCTTATGTACCAGTAAAATGCCACAAAAATTATTATAGTTATAAACAAGATTTTAAAACAACTATTTTCTTCTTTTGCAGGGTTTTATCACTGAAGATAAATACATCAGTAGAGCATAGGAGGATGAAAAATGAAAATGAACGGAAAGGTCTGGAAGAAATAATGAATGATACATGAGTAGCATTCCATTCAACATTCAGACATTTAAAAAATTGAAACAGTGAGGTCTCATCAGCTCCCGTTGGAACTATGTCCAAGTAATTTGGAACTCCAAATTCTAGGAAGGAATGTTTGGAGGAGGAGAAGTTGAAGCACCACATGTTGCAAATGTTTGCTTCATTCATTGCCAAATCAGTCTGAATGACAAAGAACATTAAGGTGGGCTGCATCTACAGATAAAATCTATTTCACCACACACAGATTCTCAAGTGCAGTGAAACTGCTGCAGCAAATAAAAATTGTGAACAAAGGTTAAAAGAGAGTCAACATGGGCTCTGAGTCGTCTTTGTTAAAACTAGCTTGCCACAGACTTTAGCAGCAATGATTATACAGTAAGTAGGAAAAAGTCTCAGTCCACCACTTCTCAGCACTAGCTGGCTGCACTGAAGTGGAGCAAAGCAGGGATTTGGGGAAAAGAAAATTTACAAGCTCAGAAGTACTTCCCGTGGTGCCCTTTCCTCACCAAACCTTACAGGAAACCAATGCTCCATCACAATTTGGTATGTAATCCTGAAGCCAGATAGGAACATGCATATTTTATATTGTAAAACACTATATAGAGAAGCTAAATTGATTGTATATATCATGCCAATAGAGTGAATCTGTGCCATTTCTTTTCCAACATTTCAACATTTCACATAGCTTATTTTCCTCAAGGAAAAGGTACCTGAATCCTTCCCTTCTGGTAGTTATAGTCAGTATTACCCAGTTCTTCTAGGGTATCTTCTCAATCACAACAGATGGAAAATTCATCTTTTTCAAACATAGTAACTAGTGGGAGCTGAAATTCTCAGAATGCTAAATAACCCGGACAAGCACCTCATTCAATGTTTTTGTTTTTTATCTTGCAGCAAATAGTTTTTCCTAGCTATTCTGTGCCACTAACACAAACAGAAAACAACAGTGTGGGAAAAAGGAAAGAATGCAATTTTGTTACAAGTATCCTAATTAAAAAATCTTATAAGAAACAAACTACTTCAGCAGTTTAATCTGCTTTAATTAGTTATTTCAAATGTCAGTACTTCCTTTTTTATAAATGATGAAGAGGGCTCATTTGTGGAAGTGAAAATAAGTTGAGTTTCGACATTTTATTTGTATATGTGAATGTTGAGATAAAGGGCAGTGCCTGCACTCCAGCCCCTGTAATGACAAGTTCATTACACATATTCTCTGATCCAGGGTATGGAGATCCTTAGAGTGTTAAAAGAAGGTGTGTTCTCTCTTTATTCTCTTCTGAAATGAGGACATGTCTTAAGCAGAGAACAGCAATCTGTCCTTTGTCTGTGATGATCTGCAGCAGGCTCTATTACAGGAACCTGATAAAAGGCAATTTGTCTCTTTCCCAGGATGGGGGCCATCCAACTACTGATCTTGGATGCAAGCTAAACTCAGCAGCCAGGAAGTGGGGGTGGGGGGTGGGTTGCCACATGTAGAAGCTGCAAGATGAGTGAGCATGCACAGCAGCCTTTGGAAACAGAAGATAAATTGCACATAGGTCTCCATCTTGCATGCTGGTTTCTATGAGAAGCTAATATTATTTTCAGCAATAATGCAGTGAATCTTTTAATGCCAAACACTCTGGGATGTCTGTACTCTGGGGTGTGCAGAGAGGCAAACTTCAAATGTGTGAAAAGCAAACTAATTAGGTAATTAAAACATTCAAGGAGGACCTACCCAAAGGGGAGCATC